TCAACAGCAGCCACTTGTTGATGCATCAGTTTCTGGAGGTTTCTGTTTAAATATATTTTTCCTGACACCAGCTGAACCTTCAGCCAAGAGACTTGGAGTGTCCACTATCTGCAAAACCAAAATTTATGATGCTCGCAACCAAGACATCCTTTTTTTCCCTTTCTCTTTGACAGAGAGGGAGTAAAAGGGACTTCCATCTTATAAATTGGAACATGCTTCATTTATATTGAAATCCATGTTAAAGTTGGGCAAACTATAGCGCAAAGACATGACAGCTGAGACAAAATAAAACTGAACTTCATACGGCATGGAGGATGCTCCAGGAAGCAATAAGCCAATAATAAAACCACAAACCACAGTTCATTGAGATAATATTTGCTAGCAAGCCTGTTGGACGAAACCCCCCCACCCCCCCAAAAAAATAAACCAAAACCCGAAAACAGAAAAGGAGTGTATTCCAGTTACCAACTACAGGTGGATAAATGTCCAGTTCACCCCAAACCCACCTTCCCCTGAGGAAAACCTTTCTTCTAGCGTAGAATTTAAAAGTTTCCATGTCCAGTTTAATGTTGCCCCAAGTGCCAAGTAGAACCACCAGTTGTTTACCAAGGAGGTCCCCACGAAACATACCTTCAAGAAGGTTTTTTTTTTTGGGGGGGTGAGAATAGTAAGGCTAGGTACACTCGACATGAATTATCACCAGTAAAGACGGTTAGTATCTAAAATAAAGGTGGAGATCTCGTAGCACATGATAAACCTATTGTTAAGCCAAACTCAATACGTGACATTGAACACCAGTGGCGGAAGCAAGATCTTCAGGAAGGGGGTTCAAAAAAAAAATTTTGTAGCTAGTGGGAATTGAACCTATGACCTTATGAAGGTTTTGAACCCCTTTGACCACTAAACTACACTTTTGGGTTGTGTTAAGGGGGTTCAAAACTTAATATATAGAGGTAAAACACAGATTTTGCTTTATATATACAGTGTAATTTTTCGGCGAAGGGGGTTCGGAACCCCCTTCCGCCCCCCTAAATCCCCCACTGTTGAACACATCTTAGATTTAAAGAGTTGATATCAACTAAATAACTATTGATGTGATATCAGCCCCACTAGACCTAATAAAATGGTGTGTTCCACTAAAGTTGTGAAAGTAAATTTCAATCTATCAAATTAAACCACAAAAGAAGCTACACTGTCATGTTGGTATACATTTGCTTCAGCTATCGTTTCCAGTTTTTCTAGCTATAACTATGAATATGTAAACTATCCATACCATCCCAAATAATAACTCTAGTGAGCACTATCAAGCGCTATTAGGCAACGACCAAGCTAACTTACTCATAGAAGATGACAATATGGTATCACTAGTAATACAAAGTTTCATTGCGACTCCATTTATTTAAACAACAAATGACCAGTCCATTCAAAATTTTATAACATGAAAATATGAGGAAGATCCTCGGATGTTTCATACCTTAAGCACAAGCTCCTCAAAGCATTGTTCCACATTAACCCTTGTCTTTGCACTACATTCAATAAAAAGACATCCATATTGCCTGGCAAAATCAATTCCCTCTTTTTTGCTGACAACCCTTTCACTCTCCTGCAGAGAAGTTCATATATATGTCAAACATCCCTTGAGAATTCACAAGCATCATCGTGCACCAACAATATCGACTCAAAACAACAAATGCACCTGCTCAATAAGGGGATTAGGGGGGATATAATTGTGTTTGGGGGGATCCTACAGTGACCAGTGTTATTGAAGGCTCGATTGAGTTGCGCTTAAATCTTAAATCTAGGTACAAAGCAGGATTGTTCCTTGCTTAAGTGGCTCAATGAGGGCGGTATAACAAGATAAATGTAGGTCGTGAGCCATGTACTCAAGTGTTGAGAAAATATAATAGTAGATGAGTACATTAAGGATTGAATGAGAAATTAACTTTAGTAAAAGAAAATTAGTTACCTATTTGATTTGGAAATTTAAAACTGCATCTTTGCACCTTAATCAGAAATCGAAATGATTTGTAATTTGATTGACATAGTTTTTACTCCATATGTTTCACTGTTGCAGTTTTCCAACTCCTCGGTCCATATTATAGTTGTTCAGGGTTTAAGTTGTGTGTGTGTGTGTGTATTTTTGTCGTGTGCATCTTTCTTTACTAAAGTGTGCGCCATAAGTGCACTTTGCACTTAAAACCCCCAACAGCCCCTTTTCTCACCTTTGACAACATTGAATGGCAACTTTAGTTTTCCTCGTAAGCGAATACCGTAGACCAAGTTCTCTTACTAGAAGAATCTCAAAAGGAAGGTACCTTATCAACTTTGTTGCCAACAAGCATCTTGATGCAGTCTTGATTTGTTGAGTATAGGTCAATTTCTTTGGCCCATATATCAGATAAATTAGTAAATGTGTCTCGCCTTGTTACATCATAAACTGTTGAATCAAAGATAGATTAGTCCACAAGCACTACGTCAAAAATTTCTTGGGGGAAGCAAGTTGAGCGATAGAATTTGCTCCAAGAAGAATAAATAGAACCTGTTCCTAGAACAAGAAACCAGTAAGAAAGCACACTTCCAAATGGTACTTACAAATTAACATACTCGAGCATATCATTAAAAAAACTGTCTTATGCACCACCACTATTTTTCTCTTTCACTCCCATTTATATTCCCTTAACAATACAAGAATGGACGTGTACTTCTCCTAAGAAGCATTTCTAAAAAGTTAAGACAATCTTTTTCCTCCATTTTTTATTGCTTAGATCTATCTTTCAAAGTGTTGGACTGCTACTCATCAATACTAAGGGGTCGTTTAGTACAATGGTGGGATATCCCAGGATATTCCATGGATTAGTTATCCCACCTTCTATATGGGATAGCTAATCCCACCATTTTAGTGTAAAAGTTGTCCCGGGATCAGTTAATACCCAAAACCAAACATGGGATAAAGTTAATCCCAAACTTTATCCTTGGATTATTATTCTTACCCCATGTACCAAACGACGCTTAAAGCTACAACAAGCATGTGAACTAACACATAAGGCAGCATAATGACATATATAAGCCAGATACAAACTGCACCAGCTTAATGTTAGCCGCGTCAGTGACTATTGCAGTCTCTTAGCAAGCAATTTAAGTAGGTGTAGCATGATGATTATATAACATGGATATTCATCAAATCAAATAGCAAAGTCAGAAAAAAGAGACAGCAAAATTACCCATGATTATTCCTTGAGCTCCTCGGTAGTATGAACTAGTTAAAGTCCTAAATCTTTCCTGTCCAGCTGCAAACAAGAAAGTCGTTATATTATAATTAATAATTTTGCTAGAGAAAACCTCCCACTGGCACATTGAGCTGAATTCAACTTTCGAATTAAGTTGACATAAATATTCAAGGAAGCAATGTATTTACCGATCAGCTGCATCCTCTGACACCAACTTATTTCCAAAGGAGGAGAGGTGGTTTAGTTGGTGATGAGTTGGCTTTAACTATATAGACAATTATCCAACATTCATAACTTAAGATTTGCCAAGTCTCAAGGCACTATATAGGTTCTTCTCACTTGGTTTAATATATTTTGCAGAAGAAGAGCTCTTGGAGAGAAAACATTCAAGTTAAAGTTCTTATAGAACAATGGAATTTACTTTAGTTGGAGAGTGCTTAGGTGCCACAACTCCAAGCCTGCACTGTACAACAGGCATCACTCTCTGAATTTGTCGACAGCGCTAGGCAATCCAGCCTTGCACCTAAGTTCTGCTATGCATTCACAGGTGCCCATTTTGCTTGCATATATGTAGAAAATTTCAAGGAGGGTTTTGGGCAATAAACTTTTAGGCAAGGAATTGAAGACCAAAAAGGAGGAGAAACTCACTATGGCCAAATTTCGTTATTGTAGGACTATGATTGAACCCAACATGTAACTCAACTTATTTGCATTCTACTTCCTAGTTTTTCATGTATGATGGGCTATTTATGTGTACTGTATTTGATTCATCTAACTGGGAACCTGTGATTGAACTTACAAAAGAGAATCTAAGTTTCTAAGGTTTGATTAAAGTTGAATAGCATAAAGTTCAAAACTCTTTAACATCCAGGAGTTGCACAAGATTCTACTAGCTCTTAGATTGTCATTAATTTAATTCATGCTTAGTTTGGTCTCTTAAGTCGAGTTCGATTGCCAGTAAAAAATAAAGCTGTTCTAGTCTTCGTACTCAATGCTCCTATATTAGGCGTGCAATCACATATAGTTGTCTGTATTCTGGCCAACAGCTGTCACCTGGCAGGGCGAATTTCTGTCAAGTAAGTTGTTACAAATGATTTAAGGGGTACGTAAATTTCAATTTCATCATTCTACTTGAGATGAAAAATGTGCTTCATAGATTGAACCTTTTTTTAGTTTTGAGATGGAAAATTACGACAAATAATTTGGTAAACCGTGTAGTATCATATCCAACGTCAGGCGTAAACAATCACAAACCTTCATTTGGTGTCACATATTATATATTTGCATAAGAATTGTTTTAAGGGGTTTGAAAGAATGCTACTTAATAAATAACCTATGCAACTAAGCAGTAAAACTACAACATGACATTGCTGAAGATAGGACACAAAATAACAGGATTACCTGTATCCCATATTGCAAGCTTCAACTTCTTCCCCCCAAGGGTAACATGTTTTACCTTGAAGTCCACACCTGAGAATATGAGAGACAAAAAAATCTATAACTCGTTTTCCAGGCAATAAACAGCACCACATTATTTGTCTGATACATTTTATGGCATATCAAGTGCACAGCGGAATACCTGCAACGTGCAATTCAGAAGCCACTAGAGTTTACCCAGGATTTCTTTCTTCAGATGTATTCACTATTTCTCATGTACACGTGACTCTAACATTAGAGATGCAGCATTTCCACTCAGGAATATATATGTCAATTCCGACCCAACGTTATGGAAAAGCCTTTTATAAAATAGGATAGATTGGGTATGGAAAAGCCTTACTCTTTAGGAAGTGTGATAGAGGCCTATGCACGGACTGCAAGGTTATCCTGGTTGAGAATCTCATGATCCAACATAGGCTCTTGGTAATGGACTTAGAGATTAAGAGAGAGAAAAAAGGGGGCATGTATGATCAACCAAAGATCAAGTGGGGAGCCTTGACTAAGGACAAATCTCAAGAGTTAGGGGAGAAGTTGTTGGATAAGGGGGCTGGAGGAGTAGTGGGAATGCGAGTAGTATGTCGACCAGGTCAATGAATTGCATTAGTGACACAACTAGAGAGGTTTTAGGGGTATTGTTTCTAGGGGTATCGAAGGGTTACTCTGGTGGATACAGAGTGGACTAGTGGTGGAATGGAGAGGTCCATGGGAAAGAAGAAGCCAAGAAGACGGCATATTTCAAGTTAGTGGAGAGTGAAGACGAAGACGAAAGGACAGTGTTAAAAATAGCATGAAGCAAGGAAAAGCGACAACCCCCATTTCACGAAAAGCGAGAAGCGAGAAGCGAAGCGCCCGTTTTTTTTGAAGTGAAGCGGAATTTTAAAAAAAAATTAAAATAAATACGGCATATACAACACATGTAATTGTAAGCAAATGTTCAATACTTGAATTAAAAAACTAAAGAGTAGCATCAATTAAAGTACAAAATGAGCATCCTATTCTTCTACAAGATTGTCAAGAGTAACATCAATTGGGCAGAATCTCGACAGAATTTGGGCAGAAACGGGGCAGAATTTTTCTGAAAAAAATTCGCCAGCATTTCAACGCTTTTTGGACGTTTAGAAAGAAAAAGAAAAAAAAGAAGAAGAATGAAAATAAAAACATACCTGTTGAAACTTGAAAGTTGTTGTAATGTTGAAGAAGAAGAAGAACCCTAGTTTGCTTGAACAAATCGTTGCTTCATGTGAGGAAGAAATAGCTGGTTTTTTGAGGAAGAATAGGCTGGTTTAGAACCCTAGTTTGCTGCTGAAGAAGTGTCTAAAACATAAGACTCAACGATTTGGGTCTTTTAATTGAAAAAGACTCGTTTGGGCCTATTAATTCAAGAAGCGATCGCTTCTTCCGCTACCGACCGCTTCACCGCTTCTCGCTTTTTAGAGAGAAGCGGTCGCTTTTCTGTACCTGAGCCGCTTTTAGTTGGGGTAGCGACCAACCCATCGCTCCGCTTCGCTTCTCGCTTAAAGCGAGGAAGCGGACACTTTTTTTAACACTGCAAAAGGAGGACGGCTAAGGAGGCAAAGTTAGCAGTTACGGCTGCGAAAACGGCAGCGCTTGAACGCATGTATGAGGAACTTGGGGACAAAGGCGAGGATAAGTTGTACAAGCTAGCCAAGGTGAGGGAGAGGAAGGCTCGTCACGTGGACCAAGTGAAGTGCATCAAAGACGAGGAAGGCAAAGTATTGGTGGAAGAGGCACATAGACGAAGATAGCAGACTTACTTCCATAACTCTGAGAGACAGCGAGATTTTGAGTATTGTAGGTGTACAAAGGTTGAGGAGATTGAGGGGGCTATGTGTAAGATGAGCGGGAGAAAAGCAATCAGTACAGACGAGATCCCAGTGGAATTCTAGAAGAGCGTAGGTAGGTTTGGAGTGGTTAGTTGGGTTGTTTAATGCCATTTTTAGGACGGCAAGTATGCCCCAAGTATGGAGATGGAGTACAATGATTCTGTTGTACAATAACTAGAGTGAGATTCAAAATTACAACAAAAACAGGGGTATCAAGCTGCTAAGTCACACTATGAAAGTTTGGGAGAGGATGGTGGAGATGAGGGTGAGAAGGGGTGTGTCTGTGAGAAAGCACAGGAGAAAAATATATTATTGATGTAATACAATGAACCCTATTTATAACTGTACATAATACATATCCTACTCTTATTCAATGTAGGACTCGGACTAATTACATATTAACTATATAAGTATCTAACACTCCCCTTCAAACCGGTACATACAAATCATATGTACAGAGCTTGTTACATATAACTAATACGAGGACTGGTGAAGGACTAGATGAAAATGTCTGCAAGCTGATCATTCGACTTCACAAACCTTGTAGCAATATCTCCTGAAAGTATCTTTTCTCTGATGAAATGGCAATCAATCTCAATGTGTTTAGTTCTCTTATGGAGCATTGGATTTGATGCAATATGAAGAGCATCTTGATTATCTCTCACACACAAGTTCCATCTAGCTGATCTCACCAAATCCTTGAGCAGCTTCGATCCAAATTAGCTCACAAGCTGCCACAGCCATTGCTCGATATTCTGCTTCTGCACTAGACCGAGCAACCACATTCTGTTTTTTTGCTCTTCCAAGACACCAAATTACCTCCTAGTAAAACACAATATCCAGATATCGAACGTGTATTACAAGGTGATCTTGTCCAATCAGCATCTGAGTATCCAACGATCTCCTCATGGTCTCAATCCTCGAACAATAATCCTTTGTCTCAAGCTGATTTTATATATCGAAGAATGCGAACAACTGCATCCCAATGACTATCACAGGTAGAATCTATAAGTTGATTCACAAAACTCACATAAAAGGAAATGTCAAGTCTAGTCACTGTGAGTAAATTTAATTTACCAACCAGCCGCCTATATCTTGCGGGATCGTTGAACGGCTCCCCCGTTCTGCAGAAGTTTAGAATTCGGATCCATAGGAGTATCAACAGGTCTACAACCTATATTCCCGTCTCCTTAAGAATGTCTAAGGCATACTTCCGTTGTGAGATCACAATACCTGAGCTAGACTGAGCGACCTCAATATCCAGAAAATACTTTAATCTGCCCAGATCCTTAGTCGGAAAGTATGAAAGAGATGTTGTTTTAACTTAGTAATATTATCTCGATCATTGGCGGTAATAACAATATTGTTAACATAAACAACCAAATAAATACATAGATTTAAAGCAAAATGCCGATAAAACACAGAGTGATCAGTTTCACTACGAGTCATGCCAAACTCTAGGAGAGATTGACGATGATGTCATACATCGTATTAGACTGGGGTGGATAAAATAGAGGCCCACGTCTGATGTCCTGTATGATAAGTATGTGCCACCAAGACTTAAGGTAAGTTTTACAGAGTGGTGGTTAGACTGACGATGTTGTATGGCGTAGAGTGTTGGCCAGTCAAGAATTCTCATGTCCAAAAGATGAGAATATCAGAAATAAGGATAATGAGATGGATGTGTGGGCAAACCAGAAGAGATATAGTCATGAATGAATATATTTGAGACAAGGTGGGGTGGCCTCCATGGTGGACAAGATGAGGAAAGCGAGGCTGAGATGACTCGGGCATGTGAGGAGAAGATGACTAGATGCCCCAGTGAGAAGTTGTGAAAGGATGGTGTTTGTGAGTCTAAGGAGAGGTAGAGGGAGACCGAAGAAGTATTGGGGAGAGACGATTTAGCAGGACATGACTCATCTTCAGTTTACCGAAGACACGACCCTGGATAAGAGGGTGTGGAGGTCGAGAATTATTGTAGAAGGTTAGTAGAAAGTCAAGCTTATTTCCTTTCCTAACCGTAGTAGTAGTATTATTCTTGTATTTCTTTATTCTTAGATTTATATTAATACTTGACATTTTTTCTGCTTCTATTTTCTTATTATCTTGTTGTTGTTACCGCTTCTTTTTTCATGGCTTCTTCGCTACCGTATTTCTTTTATAAATTGTTGGAATTATGATTACCTTGAGCCAAGGATCTATGGCAATAACCTCTCCACCTGCACAAGGTAGGGGCAAGGTCTGTGCTCATTCTACCTTCCCCAGACCCCAATTGTAGGACTACACTGGATATGTTATTGTTGATGTTGTTGTTGATAGATTGGTGAACTGTTCCCACTGCCAGCTAAATTCCAAATATTCATTTTTTTTCTTTTGTTGCTGGGTTTCGGATTTCTAATTATAGTACCTACTGTTAGTTTTGTATTTTTGCTTCGGTTTTCTGATTGGTGTGCTTGTTGTTGCCCTCCTTTTACCTTTCCTGAGCCGAGTGTCTACAGGAAACACCATCTCTGCCTTCTTGAAGGTAGGGGTATGAGGTGCGTACACTATATCTTCTCCAGACCCCACTTATGAGATTATACTGGATTTTTTATTTCGGTACTAAATCAACATCAAGCATGCAGTTAACGTTCCATAATCTAGTTATAGCAATGCAATACCACTTCGCCTACTCATATTGAGTTAACTCAACTGCATGCTTTACTCCTGATATAGCCACATAATCATTTCATATAAACCTTTTTAACTCTTTTTCATTTATGCAACTAGAGGTTATCAAATCCATTTAGCCAAACTATTAAGAAACATTTAAAAAGTAATAGAACCATTGACCAATACACAGTTATGGTGCATAAACAGCTAAAAGAGCCCACCATTAACTAATCTAACTAGTTTCCACCCACCAAACACAAAAAACATTTCACTCATTCTATCCGTCAAAACCACCATCTTCACAAATTAATCATTACCTAATATCACTCTATAACATCCACCCTTTATAACAACATTTCATTATAACAAGCAAGTTTTCTTTGAAGCCGATTTAATGTTATATTTTACCTCAAAATAACAACTTTTCACCTATAACAACGACATGCATAATTATATCAGTATACTCTTTGTAAAATTAATGTACATCAGAAAAAATAAAATTTAAACCAGGATATTAACACAATATGAAATAATTAACAACAGTTTTACCAATGGTTGGAGAAAGATCCTCAAAGGCATCAGAAGTGAAACTGAGGAGCAAACTACTCTTCCCTACACCTGAATCTCCTATCAACAACAGCTTGAACAAGTAATCAAACTCCGGCGATGATGATGATGCTTCCATTCCTTAAATACTCCTCCAAATTTCTCAAATTTGCTCAATCAGCCTTAAAAACCCTAAAGATCAATAAAAAAAAGTTACGCGCAATTCAGAACACCAACCAATAAGCACAGATTCAAAAGCTAAATTTCAAACCAAAAAAAAATAAAAAATTGGAGAGAGAGGGAGAGAGTACCTGGAATGGAGGAGAAAATTGGTAAAGTGTTATATATAAAAGTGTAGAGATGGATGTATTATATATTTGGAGAGAACGGGTAAAGGTTGAAGAAAGGAGAAAGAAGATCGAGAACAGTTGCTTTCTTTTGAATGCATGAAGTGCTTGTACAATGTACATGAGAAATTGTACGCTTACCTCGGATTGCTGTATATGTTGCCGACTCGGATTGCGATTATATAATTTTCTTTAGATCTGTTTTCCTGTAAGTGATAAGCATTAGGTGCTTAAAAATATTTTTAAGTGCCGAAATTGATTTAATAAATAAGCAGTTATGTATTTGGATGCTGAATTGATAATAAGTTGTTGCAGTGAATATCGATATAGGAGTTTTGTTCTAAAAAAAGTATTTAAGGATAAAATAGTAAAAATTTTGGTCAAACTTAAAGTGCTTATAAGCTAAAAATTCATAAGCCGGGGTAACCAGCTTATGTATTTTGGCTTATGTTTGACTTATAAGCACTTGGCTTATAAGCACTTTAATTTTACCAAACGCGTAGATAAGCCGAAAAGTGCTTATAAGCTAGTTTGACAAGCTTATAAGCTTAGTCAAACACCCTCTAAGACTTACAAACATCAAGTATTTAAATCAAATTAATAAATGTAAGGCAAGTTGTAGTCATAAATTAATCGGAAAATGGTTAAATTTACCTTCTGTTATATTATCGATCCATCAAAACCCCTAATGTTATAAGTACTCGATATTTATATCAAATCATAAATCATTTAATAGGTATTTTTGCTATAATTTAAAATATTAACTGTCAGAATTAAATGGTTTAATTTGATATAACTTCGAGTATCATTAACTATTAAGTGATTGATATATGATAACTATGAGTTAATTGAATATATGTTTGTTTTAACAGAAGGTAGTAGTCGCTACCGTTATTGAAAAATAATGATTTGGTAGCAGGTAAAATACTTTCTATCATCATGTTTGTTTGAATAAATTCAAAATTTAATAATATTTGAAAGTGAAATCCAACCAATTACTTCTATTTTATTCACTAGGTCAAAGTTATTGCTCATCAGAAATTGCTATTGCTGGTTGAGATTCTTTACCTGATTGGAGCAGTCTTCGGTGACTGTAGTACAACACAGAGATTGCTCTATGGGTGTTATCTATTTCTCTTAACCAAATTGTTACCCGTATAAATGTAAGTTTAATAACAGTTATTCAGGAATTTGGTATGAATAAATTATTCTGAAGAATCGTTTATACAGAATTGAGGAGGAGCCTAAGCATGAAATCGTATTCAAAAGAACTCATAGTCACTTTCTCACTATTATAGCCACTACAATAAAATGTCATGTGATTTATGATTATTATTCTATCTATATCTATATTTATACTACTATATTAAAAGCATGAAGGTCCTTAACGAAATGTCGTTCGCATTTTTTGCCTTTTAAAAATAGATTTCACATTAGACGAAAGTGTAATTTAAGTTTTCCCCTAATTTTTAGGAGCTCTTAATCAACTAAAATTTAAATATTAAATCTTTTCCTTATCTGAATACGTAGAAAGTCCAAAATTAAAATCGAATAGAACTTTACTCTATATAAACTCTTCCATTATTTGGACAAGTTAACGTAATTATAACCTTCCATGTAAATTTTTTCAATATTAATTTTCAAATAGAAACATAAATAATAGGAAATTAAAAAGGAAGGAAGTACAGAAATAAAAAGTTTTACCTGTTTTGACTCCTTCGAAAATTGAGATTGCACTTTTTTTTTTACTTATTTTCAACTTTTGTTTGCTTCTCTTTCTTCTCGCTTATTACTATTACTAGTATAGTACCCGCGCGATGCGCGAAAAATACGAAGAAAAAAATATAATAAATTATTAACTTAGTTGCTTAACCATCTCATATTTTTCTAACTTGACCAATCGTAAAATTTAAACCATTTGATCAATTCCTCATTAATTTTTAAATCCTCATTAATATAGATTCCTCATTAATTTTTGATTGGAAAAGAGGCAAAACAATTGTAAAGTATTACTATACATCAGAATTACATATAATCAAGCAAAGAGCGTAAAGTAATGTGTGTATTCATGTTTTTCCTCTTTTAAAACATTGGATATGTCATTAAAGTTGCATTATTTGAAGGAATAAGTTTGCGTTATTCCATTATGTAATTTATCATATTTAATGCTCTTAAGAAAACAAATAATAATTAAATGACAGGTAATGTTGCAAATTAATAAAAAACTTTCGTTAATTAAATAAATTACAGGTAGTCGTAGAGACGGTTCTCCCACTCTGCTTCAAATTTAAGGACATAAACCCAAAAAGGTCCACTTGGCCACACCTCGTGATAAATGTCAGTTAAAATACTACCTAAAGGTTGTCCAAGTGAATCTACTAAAATTGATAATGCTTCCCAATCATATAGTATAATTTTGTCTATAGCATCTATTAGTGCATCTCTCATAAGCTGATAATTTGCAATATGTAGATCTAGTGCAGGCCTAAGCTCTCTAAATTTCTTTTCTTTTTCCCTTCGTTCAGCCCTTCGATCTCTTAACTTATTTTGTATAGCCCTTGGAACATTCCTGATAATTTCAGGCTTTGAGTCTGAAGCATTATAGGAATAAATGTTGCGACGGCGTATCTTTCGACGTTGTCCCCTTCGTTGAATTTGAGCACTCGTAGTTGGAGTAATTTGAACGTGTCCTTGTTCATCCATATCTGAAATAGAACTAAAGAAAGAATAAGAATAGCTACAACATGTCACCGAGATAACATAGTACATGCATATTATTTTGAAACTTGCTCCTTAGTAGATATAGCTCAGGCAGTAGTGTCTCAAAGCACTCACAAATTTGAGAGACAATGATTTTATTTCTTGAGAGGACTGCTAAAAGGGTAGTGAATGCTAATAGAAACATTTAATTGTTGAATTGGATAGAATAATGAATAGAGGATACTACTATTTAAATTAATTCCAATATGAGTATTTAGAAACGCATCCTAATTACAGTTAGTATACAAATAAGTTGACAACACCAATAGACTTGTACATACTAAATTCCAATAGAACACATAAAATTTAGTATATTCTTGTCGGTGATACTATACTATATTGCAAAAAAAAACAGTAATGAAAGCGAAAAACAGTGTTGATTTTGATTGCTTAATTTATAAACTATTCCATTGGAATTACGTGAGCCTTTGAGAACCAATTGCCCTGAATAGCTAGAAAGCTAAAGAAAGCAGGAAAAAACAAACGAAGTCTGCCTTTGAGAACCAATTGCCCTGAATAGCTAGAAAGCTAAAGAAAGCAGGAAAAAACAAACGAAGTCTGCCTTTGAGAACCAATTTTCCAGATTTATGAAGTATTATTAATTTTGAGAGTAATCAAAATTATTCAAATCAATGTCTTATTATTTCTTCAAATTATAAATTTATTCAAATTAAATTTTACTGTAAAAGTTAACCAAAATCAAATGAAAATAACTTGTGACAAACAATATTGGAAACGAAGAATCCGAAAAGCACTCACTTTTCCGGCAGAATTGAGGCTATGTTGAATTTGTAGAATATTTTTGTTTGCGTAATATTGTCGGACTCTCCTCTGTTCTTCGTTGTTCTCTGAATTTTCTTGTATTAACACCTCCCTTATTAGTAGATGAATATTTATTCTTACTCGTCATATTCTAGTTCAATATCCATAAACTTCCTAGAAATTCCACCTTGGTTTTGCGTTTGTACCTCACTGAAATTGACAATTTCTCCGATGACATCTAAAGAAAAAGAAATTGTTAAAATAAATAGTAGATAAATTCATAATTAGAAAATTAACGTAAAATCTTTATTTACCAAATAATTCAGTCTTGTTCACGTCAACCTTATTTATCAATTGATCATATGGTCGCAAATCAAGATATTGATTGGGAAAAGTGGATCAGTTGTTTCAGCCACTGTTGTCCGTTGAGTAAACGTTAGCCTCAACCTATGTTTCGTGGTGTTGAACTTCTCCTTATTATGACAAACGATAAAGTTCGCCATATTATATAATCCAAGCTCAGTAATTTATGTTTTGAAAAGATGCAAAACGGACTTGCCAATAGAAGCACTTATGCGATCGCCCTACAAAAAAATTACATTACATAATAGACTGAAGCATAGATTGATGTTTTTGGCAGTATTAAACAGCGTGATGAGTACATAATGTTGCATCGTGTTACCTGTCTTCTGGTGCAACCTTTATGCCGACTATGCAATGTTATGATTTGTATTAATGGTAATTTATATTAATTATTAACTATAGTCGTAAACAGTAGAGTTAAACAAATTAATCAGTTGTAGTAATAGAGAAAAAAAAATCAAATTTGCAAGTGAAACTGTTTTTGGTAATTTGAAAAAAATGCCTATACATGACAGGAGATCCCCTAACTCTTGGATGTAAAAGAAACTTGATGGCATTTTGGACTTGATCCTCCCGAACTGGTTCTGAGTTTACAAATACAGAAGTTAAAGAGATCTCTCTTATAACCTCAGGCTTGGAATCCTGATTATCTTTAGCAGCTGGTGCAAAATCACTAATATAGAAGGAGATTTGATATGCAAATCTGCTGCATAGTAGCTGAGTTGTAGTAATAGAGAAAAAAATCCATTTTTTGCAAGTGAAACTGTTTTTGGTAATTTGAAATAACTTTAGTTCGAAATAAATTTTTTTCGACCCCTTTTATCCCCTGTTTATATTTGTACAAATGTTTTGAGGACGAATACAAAACCGAGAAACAGAGAACCAAAGGAATTAGTTTATACTTTTCATGAAAAATTTAGAAAAATGTGCTGCATAGTAAATTTGAACAATCTATAAATATGCAGCTCATATGCTCTTCAGAAGGGAGGATAAACAGTAATGTGAAATATAATTACATAAACAGTAATGTGAATTCTAATAGCAGAAAGTTGATAAACAGTAATGTGAATTCTAATAGCAGAAAGTTGATAAACAGTAATGTGAATTCTAATAGCAGAAAGTTGATAAACAGTAATGTGTCTTGCATTATATGAGTATTGATCATTTAAGAACTTCCCAGTTTTCCATGTTTTGTGATTGTTGCAAATGGCATCTGGCTTTCTTTTGCATTAACGTAGCTATCAAC